GTATATAGCAGCACTCTACTGGATGCATTTCTCATTCGATAAGTGTCTGTTGAATGTCAAAGTGAGAAATGGTAAGCGGTCATATATATATATATATATATATATATAATTTATTTCAGCTGTGCAGAGAATGGCCCAAGCGCACCTATCTTCCATAGACATGAGCTCTGTGGACCAGGACGACCCACCTTCCAGAGAGGAAGAGGAGAATGTAAAGAGCACGCAGCTGGACTCAGGTAAAAATAAAATAAAATTAATTATTAAAAAGTCAGATATGAAGATGATTTTTCATTAACCTTTTACTATATGGGTTAAATGTGCACTTTTTGACATTTAACAACAACAAAAATACACTCAATGTCATTCTTTTTCCGAGAAAATTATGATAACTCATCCTGATGTGACCCAAAGTGCACAAAAAGGAATGGACCTGAGAACTAAGAGGTCAAAGGTCAAAATTGACCCGCAATGTCCATTGTGTGGAAATGGAACAGTTTATAATTATTTTCTCAATGCCATCATTTCTTGGCAGATGCTGGAACGCAAAACAAAGCGCAGAGGGATCCGTCACTGTCGCCAAATAAATTAGGACCCACAGAGGAGGCCGACGTTGGAGACAAAGTAGAACGGCGGAAGATCTCTTTTGCATAAAAGCATGGACAGGAGGTTTGTGTGCATGCATACTTGTCAATGTCCTGTAAATACAGTATGTGCAAGAACATCTCAGTCGGTGCCACAAAGTGGTGTTTAAAAGAACCCACAATAATGTAACCAGACATTCTTGTCCATTTGATGGTACAAGTGATGGTTTGTCTACTGGGATTTTAATGTGCTTCTCCTGTATAGTATAGTAGTATTCAAAATATGCTTTGTGATGGTTGCTAATAAAACCTCCGTAATGGATTTTGAAGCATATTATGTAGTGTCTTTATTAAAAGACACACAAGACTTAACTTGGTGAACTGATTTACAAGTAAATGAAGCTCTTTTAATCGTAGTGTTTCAAAACAATAAAGACAAAAGGAATGACGTCACTTCACTATACATAGATGCAGGGGGTGCATACATATGCATAGTATAAAGACCAATTGATTTTTCATGAAAATAAAACTGAAATACAAGATGTAAAATAGTACCGATGTTCAATATTTCGTATTGAATATCTAAGTTCATTTTTAAATACATGAATGATAGTTTTGTACCAGTAATCTGGTTTTATATATTTTCCCATAAATATTTAATACATGCACAAAATAAAATATGTTATCATTATATTATGGACAATTTTAAAAGTCGAATAAGTGGAGAAAGACTTGGCTAACTTTGGTTTTCCTGTAGTAGCTCTTTCGGGACTGCAGGGGGTGATGTGTAACCACATAACAAAAGGAGAGCCTCTTGTCCATCTGAAAATATAACTCAATTCAGCAAAGGCACATAGAATGCAGTTGAACAGCAGTTTTTGGACACTATCACCATCTTTCAATCCTTCTTCGCTTTTGCAAAAAACACCCCAGTCACATCATCCACCCCGACTCTCATGTCTTGAGGCAGCGTGTAAACTTCCAGCCGGATCAGGGTGTAGCCGGTCTCCTTCAAACTGGTGCACACCTCCGCCTCGCCTAGTGGCACTACGGGGATCTTCACCCCGGGCCCCCCGAAGTAGAAGCTCTCCCCCAGGGCTCCGATGAGCAGGAGGTGGCCGCCGGGCCGGAGCAACTTCCCGATGTGGCCCAGGGCCCTGGTGAAGGCGGCCAGGTCAGGGCTGACACTCTCCAGGCAGAAGCAGGACACCAGGCAGTCGGCCCCTGCCGGGGGGAGGACGCTAGGGTCCAGAGGCTGGGGACGATGCACATCGATGGGGAGGATGTCGGTGATCGCCTGACGGAGCTTGGCCGCCTTCTCTGTCCATGCCGAGGCACTGAAAGTGACAATTGAAATCCCGATCCTGATCATTTGAAGAAGGTGTGTTGGAGGAGCAAAACATCTCAAACATGCAGAATAGGACCAAATTTGGACACCCCTGGCCTCATACTTCCTTGACACCAAGATACCACCAGATGGCCCCCAAGTAGCAGATTGTATCAATACAAATTTCACTGAGAGTAGTTGAATTGTAACTGCGTTCATGAGAGGAATTACTGTATTTCACATGAAAAATTATGTCATTTAATACCGTCGCCCCTCCAGCTTGCAGACGTGCTGCAGATAAGGCGTCCAGTCCAGGCTGCAGGTCTCGTCGCCCTGCAGCCAGCGCCTCAGCTCCTTTCGGTTGGCCTCCAGGAAGTCAGTAAGAACCACCTCGTTGAACACCTCGCAACCGCTCAGGACTTGGTACAGGGTGGGTCCCGAGCCGATGTCCACCAGCAGCTCGCCGCTCATGTCACCTTAGCAAAATGTCAGATGTGCGTTTATATAATACTTACTGTTCATCGGGGTTACAGACCAAGCCATAACCATATCCGTTTTTTAGCATCTACAGGCAATTCTAAACCTTTTTCTGTTGACCTCAAGTCGTTTTTCTGCTCTCTGTGGCAGTGCCTCCGTCCCTATCCCGCTGTAAAATCCAAGCTATGGTCACAAACCTACTAACCTTAACATTAATTCAAACTTAACTTACCGCATTACCCTTACACTAAATGTATTAGAAATTATTTAGATTTTGTGAAGAAAAAAAATAAAATCACCGGACGTGTGAGAATGCTGGCATGTGTGTTGCCGTAAACACAAACCTACCAATGACTTCTAAATCTGCTTCCCTATTCGCCAATTTATTGCCTTTGCGTTGATAATACTTGCTGTCAACCTAAAAGGTTGGGACCAGCATCTCGGCAATGTGCCCCTGCGCCTTACCTTCAGTGAAGGCTCTATGCAGACACGCCAGTTTCCACGGCACAATGCTGTCTTTCCGATCAAAGTCGGCCCGCGGTGGCGTGTAGTTGTATTGTAGATATGCCGCCGGGTCAAAACGCTGGTAACAGGCTGCCATGGCTGCCACTCCATTTTCTGTCCCCGTTTGCTCCATTCTTCCGCTGCGGATACAAGTCGGTTCACTTGTGAGCTTCCAGGTGCACCGTTTACCCCTTTGGAGCCTCCTTATATAGCCGTTTTGTGTGGGTGTACCTCGGTCGTAATTTTGGGGACGGTCGTGTTGAATCCTGATAGGGTGCGTTTGTGCTTTCTTTCTCTGCCCTCAAGCACTGATGCCATCAGATTAGGGGGCTTTCAGCAACACTAATGGATGCATCATTGCTTTCAGGTCTTGCAACCACCCTTCAGCAGGCCTCTATCTTCACGATCGGTCCAGGTTTGCCTTTGCCTGCCCACGAGCAGATCACGGCTTTGCCTCTTTCTTCGAGATATCGCTGTATATGTGGGGCATACATTTCTGTATTCTAGTGGTTATTGGATTCTAAACTTTGGAAAATGAATCTTTTTGTATCTTAACAGGAGAGTTGAGCATTCATATTTTGGTCCATTAGGTCTGGCACTTCAAGTCCCCAGTCCCTGACGGACGGAACTACCGCGATCCCAAATGTACTTCAAAATATTCAGCATACATAAAAACAAGGCACACATGCGTCATTTGTGTTGTTTGGATGCATTCTGCAGAGTCATAGCCAACCAATATTCACAATTGGTAGGTTGGAGTCCTATTTATTGCGGGGGTTATAGGCCCATGTTAGACTTTGAACAGCGCAAGCAACCAAGGACAGCTGACAAAACACAGTTTGAGCCGCTGATTCGATTAATTTAACACCTATTCTCAGTGTAAGCAGCAGCTGAACTGCTGTGGAAAATTGCCACGTTCTCTTCAAACTGCTTTCCCCAGGGGTCCCTTGACACCTCGTTCATCCCTGGCAGATGGACACACACACACACACACACACAGTGTCGCAGTCTCAGTATTTGGAATGTGGAATTTTGCCACATGTCAGTTTTAAAATTAGGTTATGTGATCATCTCCCTGGCATCACTTTTGAGAGCATTTGCCAGTTCTGTGATGAAATAACTCAAAACTATTCATATATCTGAATGAAAACAAACGGGACAACCCGGTCACCTCTGCTTTGTGGTTTATTAAAAAAAAAACCCTACATTTGCTAAAGCATTTATATCCATTGATAATCAGCAAATACTTCATCCCAGGAACCTCGGTAATGTCATCTTCATGGTCGTCTTAGTTTCTAACACGAAGCTCTTTGGAGTTTTGCAGTCGAACCCTCCTTCCTGGATGTGCAGTGAGCTTCCATGCTCAATCTTTTTGAAGGGCCCCCTTACGGTCTCTGGTGGCAGCCTGTGACTGATGGCCCCCGAGAGGAAACGCTGCAGGAGTCGCCTGGCTTCCCAGTATTTCTCCGAGCGCTCTGCTTCGGTCACTGTGGGCCTGGAGGAGAACACAAAGAAACATGGAATTGATTGTCCCTCCTTCACATGGACTCACCTATCCAGATCCAAAAAGCCTAAATTACGCTACATATCCTAACTCAAATTTTAATCTTACCCCTTACCCAAACCACAAAGTTTAACTCTAGCCCTAAACATAACCTAAAGTCGTAACCCAACCCTACCCAAATCATAGACGCATCATTTTTACATTTTTCAAGGGTTGCAATGGCGGCCGTGATAGCACAAAACACCGTCAAAAAGAACAAAGAGTCGGTTGCTCACCTTTGCACCCGAGACACACCGAGACTGTGCCAATGAGCCGAGTAGGTCTGTCCTCTCTGCCAGTCCTCCTCCATCAGGCAGCAGTCCAGCGCGCCACTGACGCTGCTCATCTTTACAGAGTCAGAACCGAACAGAAATGCCGTTGTTAAGTTTGATTCGACTGAAAGGCTTACTTTTTCGCCTGCATCCACTGAGTGCGCCTGACAGAATGTGGTACAAGTGTTGGGGCAGGGTGGGTGGAAGGCGGATTAGTGCCCTGTTTACATAGTTGTGTGTCTGCGGTTATTTTGGTTACATACCAATGTGAAATACAAAAGCACGGTAGAGCCGACGTTCTGAAAACCTTTTTCCATTATGACCTGGGATAGTAAGCCCATAGTTTTCATTGAGGAAATGTTCCAGACGCAACTGCAACTCCCCCAACAATTGCGATATGCTGTGTGGAGAAATCATGCAACCAAACCAATTTAGAGAGTAGAGAATAGCTCAAAATGTTACCACACTTTGTGTTAGTTAGTCCGTGCGTTTTTATTAGTATGGCCCTGTAGCATCAAGGTAAGCAAGGCTCAGCTCCTCCCGCTCGTCAAATGGACAAATAACAGATGAGTGTGTATAAAGAGTAGATAAAGAGCAAAAAGTGGACTCGAGAGAAAACAGGGCCGAAATAATGGAATAACGTGCATTTAAACCCCGAGACGATTGAGTTATGTTGGACGCTGAGGGACAGGTGGCGGGGAGTCCGCTGTGCTTGGGGCGCTCTGCACTCGCCTTTACCTTCACCTGTGCACCTTTTTTTTTCACTAGAGAGTAAATATAAAAGATGCACAAGTCACGCTTTTGTTTTCAATACGTAATCAAATGGCAAAGTCAAATTGATCAAAAACTAAGTACTCTCATAGCTCTTTTTTTTATGGCGTGTTCTGTGGAGAATTTTTAGAATTCTTTCATGTTATTTTACCGATCCCGCATTTTATTATTTATTTATTCTTCCACTGACCTTCAGGCAGTGTAGAAAGCATTTACGGTATTTACAATGGCAGGCGCCACCTTTAAAGAGCACGGAAGCCGAAAACTGCCACTTTCATCCGGCGGTTTGTGTCAGGATGGGGAGGGAAGGGAAGGTGAGGGAGGGCCGAACCCACCAACATCAGCCTCCACTTGGCACTAAAGTTGCCATAAAAGGGTCAATAGCTCACCGACAAGGTGGATTATCATCAGCAGTGTAAGTACGGACACTCTCGCACTCTTCACCTTGTGCTGTGTCAACTGATGCCAATTGAGTTGCTGTGGATGCTCTCGTAGGTGCTGTAAATCTGTGAGAAACTGTCAAAGTCGGCATGCTGCTCCAGAGGCTGCGTTCCAGGATTCAGCTGGGCCCCCACAACCACTGTTGGAGGATCACCAGGACGCTCTCACAAGGCAAGCGAGCGGCATCCCAGATTCTTGATGTTGAAACGGGAGGGCAGATGTTTCTATGGGAAATGCCTTCATTGCCAGCTTTTCAGTGTACGTTTGTGTCGAAAGCTGAAATCTTTTTACACAATGCACATACATATTCTCTTCAAGTGTCAGATGGTCGACCTCACGCTTCTGTTTCATCCTTCGGGTATTCCCTTATACTCCATACTCATTCCAAAGGTCGCCTTCGTTCATACACCACCAGGGTTAAATAATATCCTCGTTTGACTTTGCTAAATACTTTTAACCGGTTAACTTAGCGACAACGTTGACGTTGTGAGGAATAAAGTTAAGTGCCTTTACACTTGCTGAGTAAACTGCTCGTGGTGAACTTTTTCCGCCTGTTGCACACCACATTGTTCCCGAGTGATGTCGGCAATTTTTTGTGCTGATGCGGCTGTCTGTGCGTGACCAAGGTTACAGATCCACGTGAATGGGAATGGGTGCTCAATGTGTTCGATCATAAAATACTATACAGTCGATACCGTAACAGTGGTGGGACATTAAATGTTAAATATTTTCATTTCATCAACTTTCAAAGCGCAAAAATGACATTTTGCGTACTTTATTGCTGTCAACTGACAAAATGGGTCATATTTGACCAAAAGAGTACCAAAAAATAAAATAAGAAATATTTAAAACATAAATGTAGAGTAATAGCTTCATCGCCGCTATATTCCCTCTGGGCCAAATTTTTGTGTCCTCTTTTACTGTCCTACTGCATATAATGTCCATTGCGCGCCTTACTGTGTCTGAAGGCAAAGTCATCATCTTATGTTTACCAAGACAACAGCAGAATGTGAGTGAAACTATATTTTTACTATTTACGCAAGCCAAAGTACCACCTGTCCCCACCTCTGGTCAACATGATTCTTTTGGCATACTTTTGCTTCCCTGTTGTTCCCCCTCCACCCAGGTCCCTGGAGAAGCGGCCCCTTTGCCCACCGCAGCGAGCTCCGTCACGCCAAGAGGATCATGGTGAAGCTGGGCAGCGCCGTGGTCACCCGAGGCGATGAGTGCGGCCTGGCCCTGGGCCGGCTGGCGTCGATCGTGGAGCAGGTGAAAATTTTGCTCAAACAAATAATAAAAAGTGTTGCCTGCATCCTCCAATAGTTTTATGAGCAGTCATAACAAGATGACAGCCTCCGGCGAGGAAACGTCGTGTGCTCAAGAAATATGTCACACAAAACACCAAAAACGGCGAAGGTGTCCATCAGGATGAGGGGATTATTTTTGATCATTGTAGTATTCTAAACATTTTTTTAAAGTCTGTGTAAATGTAATTGTATTGTTAAAAATCAGTTTATTTCTCTTCATTTTGTTCTGTTAAGTTGCAGCATCACAACGCGATTGCTTCCCAAAGCAGCAGTAACTCCTCCGCTTGATCTTGACGCTGTACGTGGCCCACAGGTGGCGGTGCTGCAGAACCAGGGCCGAGAGATGATGATCGTCACCAGCGGGGCTGTGGCCTTTGGCAAGCAGAGGCTGCGGCACGAGATCCTGCTGTCCCAGAGTGTCCGGCAGGCACTGCACTCGGGACACAGTCAGCTCAAAGACACGGTTACTGAAATCATCTGCTGCGCTACCTTGACTTACAAGTGCGTCGACTCAAAAATTTGCCATTTGAACGAGCTTCGGACACACCGCCGCTAGATGGCGTCATTGAGCTACACATCATCCGACCACCACCAGTGCTTACCTCTCTTTGCCAACTTGTGGCATCTTTAGGTGATTACAAACCACTCTGTTTCTGTGGTGTTCAGTGACAGTAAGGTGACATTTTGCCATTACATTCTATTTTACTATGTGTTTAATACAGGACTATACTGTTTTAATTTCATTCATTTCAAAAGGAGCAGCCGATTTGATATATAAGTTCTTTTAAGTCAAGCTACCGCTGTACATTCAACACATTAACTCAAGCGAATGTGAACATTTATTTATTTTTTGTTTTTCTGCATTGTTCTTGCAGTCGTTGCCCGTGTTGGAGGCCCGGGCGTGTGCGGCCGCCGGCCAGAGTGGCCTGATGGCGCTGTACGAGGCCATGTTCTCACAATACAGCACCTGTACCGCACAAGTACTCACTTCGCCTCCTTAAAAGTGATGTGTTGTGGGGAGAGAAATTCCCATGTTCCGTCCTACCTTCCTGCACAGGTTCTGGTGACCAACCTGGATTTCTGTGACGACCAAAAGCGCCGGAACCTGAACAGCACTCTGCGGGAGCTGCTGCGCATGAACATCGTGCCCATCGTCAACACCAATGACGCAGTGGTGGCCCCGCCGGAGCCCGACAGCGACCTGCAGGGGGTAAACGTGGGTCACGATGTCAAGGGGTGGTCGAAGGGGGCACGCTTGGTGATGGGCGCGAGCTGGAAAAATACGCGACACTAGCACAGTCCAAAGAGATCTATGACAAAGGCTGTATCTTCCCCTGCAACCCGTTGAGGCAGCAAACAAGTACGGCCTGAATTACAAAACTTAATCAATTGGTGGATATTAAATCTTGCTTTTCTAGCTATTAAAGGCTGTTTATTTCCTCTGCCACCTATGTAGGCAGCAAACTAAATGTTGAGATGTGGACTTCTGTTTCATTGGATTTATTTGTTGTGTATTTATAGCAGGATGATCTTAAGTTGATCATGTACTTGTCAGGACAAACTTTTTGATCCAGCTCTTTTACGAGATCTGATTGGATAGGCTGACAGCATGCTATACTCTTTTTCCTGCACTTAAGCAAACATTACATTGACTTCCTCCAGGACAGCTCAGTGACTGATGTGTGCTGACATCAGCCCATTTTTTTTCCCTGTAGGTGATTAGCATTAAGGACAACGACAGCTTGGCGGCGCGGCTCGCTGTGGAAATGGATGCTGACCTCCTCATCGTGCTGTCCGACGTGGAAGGTATCTGTCGCCACGTCAACACCACTTCGGAACTACTCTTAGGCAGTGTCAGTAGTGCGTGGGTTTGATGTCTACGAGATATGTCACGATGCCCCAACGTCACAATACAATATTTTCACAATAGGAACATCACGATACAACAATTATCACCTTACCCCTGACCCTTTTGATTATAAGGACTGTACAACTGTTGCCCTGGAACCGACGACGCCAAGCTTATCGATATCTTCTATCCTGGAGACCAGCAGTCCATCACTTATGGGATGAAGTCCAGAGTCGGAATTGGGGGCATGGAGGCCAAAGTAGGTGGAAACGTGTGCTCCTAAAATGGCCTGGCATCATATTTGCACAAGTCAAGTGATTTGGCTAAAAGTGGGACCTTATTTCCACACTGAGCTGTCTGAGCTTGTCAGTTTGCCTGTCGTGCAGGTCCACTCATCCATCTGGGCACTACAAAGGGGCACCTCGGTAGTCATAGCCAGCGGCACGCATCCCAAAGTTACGGGCCACGTCATTGCCGACATTGTGGAGGGCAAAAAAGTGGGCACGTTCTTCTCGGAGACCAAGCCGGCCGGTGAGCGAACATTTTTTTCCCCTCCAACTCCTCACCTGCTTTTTACACCAGTGCTGCGAGCTTCTGACTTCCCCTCCAGGCATGACTGTTGAGCAGCAAACAGAAGTGGCACATACCGTCTGGAGAAAACTGGCATCACTGAGTCCGAAGCAGGTAGGAATTCTAATTCTGTCCGTGTCTCAATACATATGTCCAAACCTGCCCTTTGTGTATGTCCAAGCGTCCCAGCACCTTGTCCAAAGCTAAACGTCCTGTGTGGCCAGGCGTACTAAAACTTTTGTCCATCTGCTGAAGCTCATCCATATCTGCTATTTGATTCCTTTATTAACACTGACATCTTATGGCAGAGTGAGGTATTGCAAAACTAATTATTCTTCATGTTTTTAGAGGAGCGATATCATCGGCCACCTTGCAAATCTTTTGATTGACAGGAAAGACGACATCCTGTCCGCCAACAAGATGGACGTGGATCTGGCCGTCAGCCAGGGTAAAGCAAACTTGAGTACTTTTTGGAGTCATATCACTTCCTGACGTTATTCCTCCCCGAAGGTCAGCTGTCGGCTGCCCTGCTGGCGCGTCTGATCCTGACTCCTTCCAAACTGGACAACCTGGCCGTCGGTCTCCGCCAGATTGCCTTGGCAGCCCTGGACTGCGTGGGCCGCGTCCTGCGCAGGACCAAGTTGGCCCACAAACTGGAACTGGAACAGATCACCGTGCCCATTGGGGTCCTTCTGGTTGCCTTCGACGAACGCCCAGACTGCCTGCCGCAGGTGACCCCAACATCGGGAGGAATTGAATTTAAGAGATAACAAAGTGGACAGTTTCTTCAAAACAAAGCTAATAAGTTCAATAAACACGGCAGCACAAGACATTGTGGAGTGACCAATACTAGTCATGAAGTAAAATAATTTGCAAGGAGACTCCACACAGGACTTAATCTGAAAGTCTGTGTATCAGTAGATGCTACTGTTTTGGTAAGCAACATATTTGTATTTCCTGTTCATGGGAATTGTAATGATTACAATAATGACCTGTTTAATTCAGTTAAAAATTGAGCCGCTCATTCGGTGGGAGGCTTCGATTTGTTGACTGTCAAAGTTGATGTCGTGTCTATTTCCTCACTGCAGATGTCCGCTTTGGCTATCGCCAGCGGCAACGCTAGTCTGCTGAAGTGCGGCAAAGAGATGGCCAACACCAACCGCGTCCTCCACCAGCTCACCCAGGAAGCCCTCGCCCTGCATGACGTCACGCAGGCCGTGCAAATGGTAAGGTCAGTTTTATTTGTTTGCTTTGATTGGCTAGAAAAAGAAAAGAAGACTCAAAGTCAGACTTACACGTATTTTTTTTCCTCATATTTATTGAAATAGACCATTTATTGTGCAAATTGTGTGATTTAGTTTTCATTTTAATGTATTCTTTATTATTCGTAATTTCTTTTGAAATTCTTCCCATTCACCATTTTATTTTATTTTACATCGAGCAAATTTTGATGTTGATGTTGCCATGGAAACAGGAGCCTCCCGCTCTTTCTTACCAGGTGAGCACCTGTGAAGAGGTTTGGGACCTCTGCCAACTGGACAAAATGATCGACCTGATTGTCCCTCGCGGCTCAGCCGAGCTGCTGCGAGATATCCGGCGGGCCAGCAGCGGCATCCCAGTGCTGGGCCATAGCGAGGGAATCTGCCACGTCTACGTGGACGCCCAAGCCAGTGCCGACAAAGCCCTCAAAATTGGTAAAGATTGTGGAAAAGTTGGAAACTTGGCATGGCAATTAAGGAAAATAAGGTACGTTTTATGGTGATGAGGATGATGATGTGGTTGCAGTCCGAGATTCCAAATGCGACGACCCGGCAGCGTGCAACTCCATGGAAACGCTGCTGATCCATCAGGATGTCCTCGGGATGCCACTCTTCAATCAGATGATTGACATGCTGCGCGCAGAACGAGTACTGAGTGCACACACACACTATATGCCAACAGCCAAAGCCATTTTTTTTTTTGCTATGGAGAAGAAGAAAAAAATCACAAAATGTGTTTGTCATCTGAAACATTTTGTGATGTAATTTTTATTGGGTTTTGTCTTTTTACTCTCAAATCTCCACCAATGAGTGATTGACGCATCTCCCGTGATGGTGTTGTGAGCAGGTGAAGATCTATGGCGGCCCCCGCTTCGCCTCCTACCTAACGTTCGGCCCTATGGAGGCACGCTCGATGCGCACTGAGTATGGCGACCTCGAGTGCTGCATCGAGTTGGTGGACAGCGCGCAGGCGGCCGTGGAACACATCCGCAAGTACGGCAGCTCCCACACGGACGTCATCGTCACGGAAAACGGTACACCCAGCGCAAGCGTGGCAAAGGCATTTCATAGGGGAAAAACACGCACGTGCGTTTGTCTTTCATTCAACAAGTTTTGAGTAGTGTTTTTCTCATCTGAAAAGCAAACAAATATTTGATTTTCAATAAAGAAAAAGTCTAAAAAGAAGGACTTTTCAGCGGGCACAGCAGAGTGGTTCCTGCAGCAGCTGGACAGCGCCTGCGTCTTCTGGAACGCGAGCTCCCGTTTTGCCGACGGCTACCGCTTTGGACTGGGTGAGTGCCGCATGACTTCTGTGTTGTCCGACAGCTATTCTTCCTCTTCTTACTTTTTTTTTTGTGCGCACAGGAGCAGAGGTGGGCATCAGCACGGCGCGCATCCACGCCCGCGGCCCCATGGGCCTGGAGGGGCTGCTCACCACCAAGTGGGTCCTCCGGGGGGAAGGCCACGTGGCCGCCGATTTTAATGAGTCGGGCACCATGAAGTTTCTCCACGAGGATCTGCGGGCGGGCCCAGCTGAGGAACGGCAACAGCTGAGTTGAAGAAACCTTTTCATTCAGGTGACTAGCTTGTCAGTTTTGCACAGCAAATTGTGGAGTGCCCTAAAGCTTCACAGGAGTAGTTATTCTTCCCTTAGTGGGGAATTTGCATGAAATTTGCACAAAAATATTCAACATATCATTGCTCTCCATTGAGAAACATCTGTCTCTAAATTGTTTTTATTACGATTGAATCAAAACAAAAAGAAAACTGTGATGTTTTTTTTCAAGAACAAATTGTTTTCTTCGAACTTGAAACATAAATTAGTCATTTCGATAAGTTCAGTTCTTTTTTTTTTTTTTTTAATGAAAAGAAGGCATGCAGGTTTTTCATGTGGTAATTTGAAATCTTTACTTGAACCTGATATACACACACCTTATTGTTTATCATAAAACCAAAAACAAATGTGGAGTTCCACATATTCCATCTGATGAAATTCAAAGAAAATCGTACGGAAAAGTGCAGATCTTCATCAATAGTATATTCCTTTTTCTCATCTTTATCATGATGAGCTTCAATCTGACTGTAATAAGAGTTGTTGAACTTTTTTTTTGTCCTGCTGATCACAGAATTTACACTGGAATTAAATCAGATGAAACATGCACAGAGTGTAATCCCTATTTCCATCGGGGACTTGTTAGAAAATGACGGCTTCTTAAATGAAGTCTCTCCTTGAATATTATCATCGGAGCATCTAAAAAAAAAAGCCTTAAAAAAGAATATTTGGATATTTAGTTTCAAACGTGGATTTGGTCGACACGGCCGCCGTATCGTCCCGCTTTTCCCCCCAAATTAACGAAGGGCTCAAAAGGAAAGAAGTGCTATTGATGTCTTCGCAAGCATCGGGCCCACAGGGGAATTTCCCCCGTTGCTGCTGCGAGTGGGGCGAGAAGAGAAAAGATGCAAGACAATACTACAGAGGTTTAATTATCCGGCCGTCACAACTGAAAAAGAGACAGAAGGAGACTTCACAATGGGAATCACAGGATTTCTTGCTCTTTTTTTTTTTCTCCCTTCTTATCACCTAAAGAAGTACCGAAAATGCACTACTTTACCCTTCAATCAGCTCCACGGCACCAAAGAGGCGCAGACAAAAACCCCACAATTTTCTCCGTTCAAAAGGCAGGAAAAAGTGGAGCGCACGTCCTGTTTTTAATTGCATACTACTATGAAAACATATGTACCACATGCAAGTGTTATGATAGGACATTGGTGGGAAAACTTTCAAAGTTTTTCCCCTCATGCCAACTCATGAAATGATTAAAGTTAGTCTACTTTTATCATAAATAAAACATTTAGAGTGGCCAAAAGAAGTTAAAACATGCGACAGTAAAAGAATAACACGTTTGCGCTCAACGCGTTTTGTGCTTGGTTACGGAGTCCATTTTCTACCACTTATCTGGGGCCGAAATAGTTTTTATATTGCGTGCTTTTATTTTGAAGGTCTGGCTTTTGGTAGGATGAGTTACGCTGATGTTGCGCAAAAGGTGCCGAGCAGACTGCGAAGATTGATTGCTTTAAGTTATTAAAAGGTGGCATTTTGAAATTTCCCTCGACATCTGTTAAATCCTTTATGCACAATTTACAAAGTTGTTAGATCAATTACGTGATTGTCATTTTGTGCTGATTTTCATTGGAACAATAAAAAAAATACCATATCTATGATAAAGGCACAAATGTACTGGACATGCATGCACACATATACTTTATGTATGTATATGTTAATCTCTCAGAGAGAGATCAGATATGATAGGAAAACCTTTATTTGTCGCACAATGGAGAGAGAGAGATAATATACTGTATATATTTAGGTATGTATGTATGTATGTACACTTCTTTCACTAACGTGGGACATTTAACTTCCGAGTTGATCTGATATGGTCCACGGGGCGGAAATGCATGCCGTCACAGCGCCTTGTATGATTCTCATCCATCCATCCGTACGAAAAGTCAAAGCGCTTGATGGGCGCACCGAATAAGGCGGAAATCCTTTAATTGGACATAACTGGGGGCCAAAACTCATATTTTCTCTCGCAGTTGATCTTTAGAGACCTTCAAACGTGCTCCATTCTTTTCCTCCTTTCCTTCGCACTCAAGAATTAATGCTCAGAGGGATTTATTCATGCGAATCTCGGCCAATTACGCAGTGCTTAGTTAACAATTTCAATAATTGATATTTATTTCTGAAAGAGGAATCTCAGGCTGATGTAAAATGCATGAGCAGCAGTTTTATTTTTTTGTGTGTGTTGGTTCTGAGCGAGTTTCACGCCCGCTGGCTCGGGGCTAATAGCGGGACACTGACGGCGTGTCTTTGACGCGTGTGATGTGGATCGAACGGGGACGTCTTTCATGGCGCCATGTGATCTGCTAAAGACGCTAACTTGTTGTACATCCGCTTGTAGCCTATCGTGCTCTTTAATAGCAACACGACCTACAAAAGAACATGGAGGCCGCCGCTTGCTTTGATGACAATGGTTGATTATGTGCCAGCAAATGCCACCCCCCCCAAAAAGTAGAGGTGGATAACTGAAGCAGAAATAAAACAATTCGTTCTTTAATTTGGAAAAAAAAGAGATTTTACTTTTTTTTTCATAAATTATTTTGTCATTGGAGCTCTACATTGAAAGACAAAAAATAAGATGACAGGTTCTGAAACTTTCATTCAATTGCGTCACTTCCGGAAAAATATTTTATTTAAAAGAGGAAGTGAATGTGAAAATATTGTGCTGAAAAAAAAATCCGAGAGAAATGACAGAGGCTTTGCTTACGGACAACACCCGGTCTCGAACTTGGGTCGACTCGTCTATTTATTTTGGATTTCCCAGAAGTTGTCACTGACAGCATTTATCATACTGATCAGGTGAGGGCAACAACGTGTCGCCTGAAGGCGCCAAGAAGAATGAGTATGAAACGAGAGCCGAGTTTGTCGTATTTTATGCCATGTTAATCACTTTGATTTTTTTTGGAGGGGGGGTGAAAGTCTAGCTATTTCCGGGGTAAGCCAAAGCAATCACCCTGGCGGGTCGACAAGTGGCGCTAGTGTGCAAAACACCGTTGAACAAGCAGGGGAAGAAGAAGGTTGGCTCGGATTGGCCGACGTGACGTCAGGCTACTAAATGAATTGGAAGCGGGTGTGCAGGGGGCAATAAATCGAGCGCGGTGCACAGGTGCGGCAAGATGGCGACCGACCACGCGGGCTTTTATTCGGTGAGTGAGCACAGGAGCAAATGTTTGTCGCTTGTCGTCCTTTCTCACAATGTCCTTTTGCTTGTTGCCCGATTTGCAGCGTTGGAGGTTGCAGCCACAATCCATTCGCCTTTCCCTTAATTTGGTACATTGTGTTCTTCGTTTCTTTTGCCACGTTTTCAACTTTTTTTGTTTGTTTTAAAGCTGGCCAGCTCTTTTACTTTGTTTGTTTGTTTTAAATTGTTGCAAATTACAAAACCGATGTCTTTGTGCTTGGGAATTGCATGTCTAACCCCCCACCCTCCCTTTGCAGGTTATTCACCAATGTCCTTCGCTGTTCTATAAAAGTGAATATTATTGTGGAAACCTGAATCGTTTCACGAATGCACATTTTCAGCCCTTTCTGCTCCAAACACAGCCCAAAGTACATCTTTATTCGTCCACTTGCGTGCTGCGAGAGGCAACAAGATCCATGAGGCGAGAGTAAGAAACCCAACGGTTTGAGTCGTGAAAAATGCAGAACCAGAGTGTTTAGTTTTTTGCAGTGTGAAGTCGCCATTTGGGACAGGATGCGCCAGCGAATTAGAGCAGCATGAAGACGAGAACCGGACAAAAGCAGTTTGGGTGGTTTGGAGGGTGGAAGAGGAGCCCGATGAATTGAAAGAGCGTGCGGAGGTGACAAAACGCATGGCAATTGAATTAACGAGGGGCACCTGCAAAAATGATTTACTTTTTGGGTTGCAGGGCTCACATGGAGCTGAATGGGATGAGAACAAGGAGCAGTTGCACAAACGAAGCAAGCGGCGCACCGATGAGGATCATCTGTCAACGGGCTGCCTGAAAATGCCGAACAGGCGGGGCCAGAGTATTGAGCTTTGTGTTGCGCCTCGTGGGCGTGGTCGGGGTGGGTTGTCAATATTTCTGATGGGAACGGTGGCAGTGGCGGGCGGTGCGTTTGGAGCCGGCGGTGGAACCCGTGTCTTTGTGGGCACTCGAGTGCTCTTTGGCAAGGCGTGTTGTTGGAGATGGTCAGCTAGTTGTTTGGCTTGTCTGGATCCAGAGTAACTTTGTGGCGTTTGTCAGTTGGGAAGCTGCTTTGTGGGCGACAGTGTAGGCAGGGTTGGAGGAAGGGCTCTGTCATACCATCAAGGAAAAACATTTTGTCTGTGTTTCAGGGTCGCGCAGGCACCGGACCGCATGAGGGGGGTCGCAAGAGGATCTCGGACCAGGGTAATGAGTACATCACAAATTAGCTGACGGGCACACCACTAACACGAGTTTTCTTTTTCCAGTTGTGCGCGGTGGCCAAAGCGTCAAACTGTCAAGTATGCGAAGCCAACAAACGTAGTTTGCTGAATTTTTTTTTTTTTTTCCTAAAGTGAAACAGCAGAGCCATCGAACTCGCAGCCTTCCTGTCCAGTTGAATCCCGGGTAACCACCTGAAATTCTTCGGGCGGTTTTGTCAGCATCGCGCGCCCGCTTTTTTGACCCGAATTTTTTTTTGTGTCTCAAATGGTGCAGGCCGAGATGGTCAGCGTGGTGCCGCTGCGGCGGGATGTGCCCATCGGCGACAACCTACGACACGGCATTTCGGCGGTTTTATCCTCGGCCGTCGAGTGGGTGGTCATCTGAGTGCTGTACCTGAGACGGACGAACGGCCCAAGGTCCTGACGAAGAGGCTGATGGGGCGCTTCCGGGGCTCTCTACTCAGATTCCCACTGACGCAGCCGTCCCACACACGCCCCAAGGGCCGCCGGTGAGCCTGCGGTTGACTTCAACCACGACGAGTCGTGTGATTGTCTTTTTTTGTTGTTGTTGTTCTGTCACTCCTAATTTGCCGACATTCTTACGCTGCAAGTCACAAAGGGAGAAAACGCCCGTCTTGACTTGCAGCGTAAGAATCACCCAAGTGATAAATGCACAACTGATGGGACTCTTGGACAACATTTGTGTTTTTGTGTATCGAGGTAAGATCTGGCCAACCCGAAGCTCGGCTCGGGGCCTAAAATGTCAATCGTTGCTTCGGGGTCGGTCTGGGCTTCTCTCTCGCTGACTTTTTAAAAAAAAATAAACGTTTTAAAAAATGTACACTAAAATGATGTGCGCATACTAAACAAAGGAATACTTGTTTTAAAACAATTTGGACCAAACAGAGAAGGCGCGGTAATGTAATTGCTCTTTAACTACTAAACAGGCTCGCAGACGCTGAGCATGCACTTGCACACGTGTTTTGCACCAAATTGCAGACAACGAAAATTGAAACTTTGATGTTAAATTTGGTTGAAACAAAACTATAGAAATAATTTCATCAATCTTGGCCGATTTGATTTGGATTATTCTATTTAAAGCCGAGTGGGCTGCAGGATTTCTCTGCGTAATTAAGCAAATGCGCATCAAGGTCTCTCTTTGTCTGTCTTCTTATTCTGTGTTTCAGCGTTATTTCGTTGTGCAAATGCATTTATCATGTTCATCAGGTAGAGTATTTTAACCTTAAAAAATCTTGCGTTTTTTTTTTTCCTACCAAAAAATACTCACAAATAAAATGTGAAATTTCGGGTTTGCTTCGGGCTCGGGCCTGCAAATCAAGTTCATTGGCCGGGTCGGGCGTGATTTATATTTTTTTTCGGACAGATCTTACCTCTACTTGTGTATGCAATTCATTTTTCTTTTCCGCAGGCTAAGCTTTGTGTTTGGCTTTTTTTTTTTCCCTTTTTGAAGCCAGCGTGACATCTCGACCCCTGCGCTCTTCCCGTCCAGAGCGGGGTCTGGAGAAATCAATTCCACGTGTACAAGAACAAAAGTTTTCATCTCTTTGGAAGTGTCCGTGCTCCGTTTCCTGGTCTCTGTCGCTTCTCTGAGCCGTCGTTTATTTGTGTTGTTCTGCTCCAGTAATGTTTGCATTGTCCCAGTCCGTGATCTGATTCTCCCATCGGCAGCGGTCCGATGTAGGTTTTGGTGATCCTCGATGAGCTTTTCCCGTTTTGCCCTTTTCTCTTGTGGACACTTTGCAGGCGGGATGGGCGTCGCCGACCAATCGGCGCGCACGCTTCTTTTGTTGCATTTCTATACTTGCAGGGGCAAAGAGGAGCCGTTTGGCACGCCAAACAAGTGGAACAGGGGTGAGTGAGAGAAGAAAACCCAAGCGGCAGTCTCCAAAATAACGGGCCGGGTTCTCACGTGTTGGTCTTGCATCCTGAAAGAGGAGCCGGAGGTTGAAAGGTGGCAAAACACGCGGCGAATAGATCAACAAGTGGCACCAGTCAAACAATGTTCATCTTTGCAGGGCTCAGACGTGGATGTGATGAGGAGGGAGGGGCCGCTTGCTCTCGTGAGAGGGGCGAACGGCGGTGTAGCGATTGAGGCGAGTGCACCTTGAGTCTGCATTAAAAAAAAAAAAAAGTCGTGTTCAGAGGACTCTGTTTTCCCAGACCAGAGATGCGGAGTCCGAGGCGCCGGGAGAGCAAAGTGGCAAACCTGCAAGGGGAGAGTATGTCGTGGCTGTTCCGCTCGGGGTGTTTGTCGCCGCCGCTCTCGCTCGCGAACTCACTGGGTGTGCACTGACTAACGCGGAATGCATGATGGGGATTTTTGGACCGAGGCTATCATTTTCAGCTCATCGATGCGCCAACCCTGCCGCCCTCGATTCTCCAGCACGCCTCGGCAGATGACAACTGGCCCACAAATACATTTCGGGTGGATTTTTAGAAGCCTCTGAAGAGTCGTCACCACTTGTTGGAGGCGACGGGAATGAATAGCGGCAGCCGGAGCCTTCTCGAGGC